TTCATGTATCATTGGACAGCAAATGTTCAGTTCTTTCAAACTGCTTTGGCCGTTATCGGCTAACTATGGAGACTGATACTCTTGGTTTGGGCTGATTAGTACATTACTTTCTCGATCATAATTGACCGAATTGTTGATTCTTTATCACTGAGTCCCAAGATGGCGTTTTATCGACCGATTTCGAATACACCAAAATGAGGGGGATTCAGCGATACAAGTATTTTGGCAACTAGTCGTTACCTTTTTTGAGCCACTTTCAAGCCCGAAACACTGACCAAAACGTAGTAAGTGAAAATGGGGATCGATCGGTTGCAGTGGTCATTTCCGAAATCTGTGGTGGAAATTTTTTCTATCGAAGCACCAATGCGCTCGATCGCTGAAGTGACGTAAACAAACCGCGGTTGCTGCGTCTTGGTCTCGTATCAATCGTCACACAACACGTGCGGTTGGTAGCTATGGCGAACGCCCTGCCGCACAGTTCAAAGTAGGCCTAATGAAAATCGTCGTCACTGTTTGACTAAACGGAAAAAACGCGGCACATTGCGAGTCATCTGTGATGTAAGAGCCCATGATAGTTTTTCGTTCCAATTCACATGTTGTTATATTAGCCGGCTTTGTTATCGCAAATGATGACGGAACACAGCATCGGATACACAAGTCTACTGTGAATACACTGACTTCCATGTGTAGCGAATTCTGCTTCCGAAGGAACTGTCATATCTAGTGACCTAGGCAACATCACTTTACGTTTGCGAGTTTCATGCTCTTCATGACTAGCCTTGAGTATGCTTTGTGTTCTTTTGTTTTTCGCGGTATATTTGTCAAGCAGGTTGTAAAAGTTTTATTTTCACAGGTGACTGCTCCTAACAGCTACAGTATTCGCACCTAAGCAATGAAGTACTTTTGAAAATCGCATGCATCACCATCATCATCATCAGAGGGAGAAACATCAGTGTTGATACCGATGCTTCACTGCTGTACAACCACATACTTTATCCAACTATATTTAAAACCTTAAAGTGAAAAGAAGAGTGGATGATAGAGGGAGCTGGTGTTAGCCTATCACAAGTATTCTGCAAGCGCTGAATCTGACAGTCTGGAAAGAAACTGGCAGCACGAACACTAGTGACATCAACAGCCCGTCATTTCTGGCAGTATCTCCAGACGATCGCAAAAGGTGACAGGACCTTACTCTTGATAGCTGACAGCACGACAGACACCAAAACTCTTCGCAATCTATTTCAAAGCGCTCTACAGAGTCCTTCGTTGTCCACCTCGTGGTTTGCGCCGTTCTAAAAGAAGCACGGAGAACAACACTCGTCTCGGTGGGCGATGCTTCGGTATGCGTTGGACGTGACCGAGCAATGCGATTGACGTTTTCCACGACTTAAGTACCTTCCACATACACTCTGCAGGGATTGATATGATTGCAACTGATGCTATCTAAGTCAAACTTCATGAATGCATACAGGAAGCACTAGTGAGCTCACTTTTAGGGCTCAATGGCGCTACAGAAGTTCAGCTGCTTACCGAATTCGTGAACATAGGATCATGTGTTTGGTGCTGTTTGAGTCTTTACATTCTTGGGTACGTTTGCGTGACAGTTCAAGAGGAGGAGAGAGAAACATTCAAGATTTTGATACAACTTTGCGTATGGGCTAATCCCGGCCGTTATAGTCGCCAATATATCTTGGTGCTCAAAGGCTTTTTTGGTGCATTTTAACAGAGCTTAAGATTACCCGTCCATCAGTAAATAACACTTGATACTTCACTTATGACAACATCAACTGTGTGCTCAACAGTGTTGTGATCAGCAGTGATCGAAATTAGCCGCATTACGAGGAGGAATATCGCCATCGCTCTAGAACTAACCAATGTGGCGTACATGTACATAAAGTCACTTAGTTGTAACTGTTTGACCAAATAGACCATCAAATAAAAAGAATTCAGAGTGCAGTTGGCATAATTTTTACCCTACTGGATAAGGAAGCCCTTAAAAGGCAGCAAGAAAGAAGGCTTCACGAGCAGGATGTTTTGACCAATCAGATGATGCGACCTGATGTTGTCCGCCCACGTGACGGTCGGCGTGGCAACAAGCGTCTATCGTCCGGGTATTTCATGCGTAAGGGTGGATTGATATTCTGTCAAGACACCCTGGTCAGGGGGACAATTAGGCCGTCAATTGAATCCTGACCAAAAGGTAGGCGTTGGTAACTTATGGCGATCAGAGCAGTTCAACTTAGAAAAATTACTTACCACGTTGGTTCCAGTCCCGAACCTGGAATTCCATTAGATTAGGGCACGGACATGTGATAGATGAATGCCGCGCAGACACTCGATATCTGGATAGTCGATTGAAATGGACTAAACAATCGATGCGTCTAAAGTGCAAAATGACAGCGTTTTGAGATGTTTGCTGGCTGACGAAACATGTCTCGGACCTTCGATTGGCGTATCGATCTATCAATCTTCTTTCATAAGTGACAAGGACATTTTTCCAGATTTTGAAAGTTTGATAAGAACATGTGGTTACAAAAAGATCCGAAACACTACGGTGGTCGAATTCATTAAATGTGACATTGCTAGAACGACCCTCATCAGGATTCGCTTGCTTCTGTTGCTGTTCTTCATAGTTTGGTACTTGTATCAGTTAAAATCATGACACGTGCAGTTTGACACTTCGTAGTTGCATATGGGTGGTAGAGCAGTCCTGATACAAGAGCATATCGTGAATTGTCGTGGTTTGGGCTCACCAGGAGGATTGCGAGAGGACAGTAGGACGATCGCTCAAATGAGAGTCACGTGACTGTGTGCCCTACAAAATACCGCAACCACCAACACCAGAAATTGTCGTTCAGTTGTAATAAACTGTCGGTACCCATCGATCTTGTGATCAGAAGACTGACCAAGCCTGGACAGGAACGGTTAAGATGCCGAAGTTGGATTCAAACACGAACTTTCCGGTCAGTAAGTTTTCGCCCTAAACACGAAGCCATCTCGAGCGTATCATGGTTAAAAAACCATGAGTCATGTGTCATAAGACCTTTGCTGAGGTCTCTAACATATGGCACAATCTAAAAATCTTCCTCTACACTCACTTTCTGTAGCCCATTGGCTAGTGCAATCAGTTTTCTGTTACACACTACAGTTCCTTTTTTATCTTCCATTTTTCACCCACATCTGACCTGGTCCATCAAAAAGACATCAGCAATGCTGCGCTTGCATGTTGCTAAATTAATCCCGCCACGAAGAGACTGGACCTTACCCTGGTGTGACGGTTTGTGAACCTCAGCGACCCATTGAGCTATACTGGGGAGGGGGGCCGGGGTACCCGCGACACTCGCAGTCTCTCATATCAGGTTGGTCAATGACTAGAGGTCTGGCGAACGGTCTCCTGGCCCTCCAGGTTGGGGTTGGAACATGTGGCGAGTTGTCCCGTAGAAATGGTAGTGCATTTGCATTTCCCTCCAAACACCGCTGCCTTGCGGTTAGGCTTTTGAGCCAAAGGTTTTGGTTGAGGACCCTAATCGTCCTCCTGTCTAGGTGTGGGCGCCCTGGCAGTATCCCAGCCCACCTACAACCATGACACTTACGACTAACAATTCTGTCATGCCACACCGTACAGCAGCGAAGCATTGGTGTTGAACGCTAATGTCATGCAGTCCATGATGATGATGATGATGATTGATGATGATAAATTAACCGCCACTGCCGTACCATTCCTACTTTTTTTCGATCAACCATGAGGACTGAGCGGCGATAAACTAGAGGTGCAGTGATTGTCACTTTGCCGAATGGTCGTTATCCTCACTTAATCGTTTGCCCACTAATGTTGGAAGTTGGTGCTGCCGGGTAAAGTTGATGGGCTAGGTGACTACCCATCGTCTGCTGAAGTCACCAAAATAAAAGACACCCACAAACAAGCCATAAAGGATTAATCATTAAAGATAGGACTGACCGTGACTTTGTTATATGTCATATGTGATGGCATAAATGGATAACCATTGTGCACTACGTTAGTGCCGATGGTCAACGGGATCGGTTCTGTGTCGCCGTTGGAGGCGTCGGGCAAGCCAATCACATTGCTCAACTGTGAACACGATTGCCTGTTCGGCCGTGATATGTCAGATGCTTCCAGCGTGCGTTGGTGGGTAGGGCTAACACGTTCGCCTCGCATGTCAGATAGCGGAGTTCAAACTCCGACACAGCCGAGGATATGCACTGCTGAAGAGCTGTCATAAGAGTGAAACTCGATTCTAGTGCTTCCCTGCTTTGGTGTGGACTCATCAGAATAACTGCGCCAGGACAGGGGGAGAACTGTTAAAACGATAGTGATGTGAACCCTGCTTTGGGTGGACTCATCAGAATAACTGCGCCAGGACAGGGGGAGAACTGTTAAAACGATAGTGATGTGAACCAGAATTGTGTAACCCACGGAAATTTTAAGGGTAGACCACTCAATACTCCACTCAAGACTCAAGCTTTTCTATGATCCTGCAAATTCACTGGTACCTGACGGTCTACATGATGCATATTCAATACGCTATTCTCTCTTTCCGTATACTTGCTAACTATTCAGTGTTTTCTCAAACTAACTAAGCCATACCGAGTAGCCTGTTGCTCGATAGTTTGGTAATAACCGCCAAGTCACACACACACACACTACTCAAAATGCGAAGTAAATCCGCTTCGCCATATGATTAGTGAGAACGCTTTTTGTTGCGCGCTTGTCTCGCCTACACTCGGGCCTAACTAACGACCAATCAGAACACAGGTTTGTCGGCGAGCCAACAAGAATGCTAGCCTGAACAGCTAACCGCTATCAAAGATCGATACATATGAACTAATTCTATATCAGAACACAGGTCCGATCAACATCAAAAGCACATCGACAATGTCACCTGAATTGCTGATAGAAAGTTTACAACAAATTTTGAAAGCCCGACGAAGAAGTTACAGCACCTGACAGTAATTTCGTTTGCGCAACGAGAATACGCTGCATGCTACCCACTCTAGATAAGCGGTAAGCCTCTTGCCTTATATCTGCCTTCCATAACCCAATGTACTGCCCAACGTATCTGTTCATGCTACCGCTATCTTCAGTCGCGACACGGAGAATGAAACGAATTCAACACATCCTTGGTATGGTACCAGTGGTGACCAAAAGCCACTCTCAACCAGCTTCTAGTCACATCCTCATGCATTCAGCTTCAGACGGAACTGTTCGAAGAAGATGGTACAAGGGACGTGTATACGTTCCATGTCATACAGGTGTTTTTCGGGCCAAGTTAAATGGGAACTAAGGGGGTCCTGTGTGGAGGGAAACGCGACGATCTTCAGACAACCGGCTCTGTGAGTGATTTGTCAACCGACCAGTTAAAACGGCTGGGCAAGTATACACGTCAGACAATTTGAGAGTCCAGTCAGAATGTACAGTTTGCTGACTTTGGCTTTAGCAAATAAAGCTTTGAAATCTATCTCACCCGTAAATGGAACGTCGTGGAACTTTAGTGTCTCGTTCATATCACGTTCAAATTCGTGTTGGAATGTCGATGAAGATATCTCTTCCATGTAGCATGACTTTGTTCAACAACACAAACCCAGGATAGCAGCACTGAACCTTCGTGGACGAGAGAATGGTGCGTCTAATGTGGTTGTCACGTATTGATAGAATTTCCCCATGTTCATTGGGGATCTGGATACGAATTATGGTGTTCGAACTGCGTGAGAGGGTTTCAGAGCCCTCGTGTTGTACGTGACAAAATTGCAGCAATGAACCAGGAGATTTTATGAGGACACTCTTCTGCGAAACGACTTTGTGTAGTTGGTTTTGATATTCTGTATGTAGAATCGTCTCACTGATCATTATGGCCTATAGATCGGCAACCAAGGTCACCGATACACGAGAGAAAAAAACCAGTAAAACAAACGGCAAAAGTTTGGGAATTAGCCAGATACGGCATTATCCTCACTTACGAAAAGACCGACAGTATGTGCGCATTAAGTCTGACTGATAAATTATGAAATAGGTTGAGATTAGACATCGAAACAATACACAGAACACTCGAGACTTTCAGCACGAAGCATAACTCAAAGTCCTACTACAATGCATCTCCATCGGGAAAATGGCATTTTTATTACTGGGTAGAAGGTTTTTGACGGCATTAATCTGAGTGTCACAAACTGGTCAACTGTTTTTTTTTTGCTGAAGACGACAAGTCGAAAAACCTCTTGGTGGAAACCGATAAACTCAGTGGTCCCAACCTGAAATCAGACCCTACGGGGAACCATGATTACCGAATTGTTATTTTCACTTGCTAAGGTTCTGTGTGGCCTCAAGGTTTCTCACGTATGCAGCGCGAAATTGCACATCGTCTGCAGTCTGCTGCGCTGTTCATCTCCCTTGTGTTAAACCCAGAGTTGATCCCACTGAGTCATGTGACTGAGCCTTTTCGGATAAGTGAATACCCTTTGGGTATCCCCCTTGTGTCAGGTGTTTCTAACTGTTCCTAAAGAGGTGAGCCTATTCCACACGATGTCACAGTCATGTTCCGTAGTCCCGGTCGTACTTCCATGGCTTGTCTTATCAAAGGGAACTTCCATACTATATTATATATGTCTATACGTGTACCAAAAGTGGTCCTTTCTGAGACGTTCCAGTTTGGGAAGGGCCCATTTGGTGAACGAAACATGAGGAGATTAAATTAAGCTATTTCGACGACAGTCTTTGTTCTGTTTCTGGGAAAAAAGTTGGCTTCTTTGGCGATGTGACGGTTAGAGTGACGTCATGCGTTGTGCTGCTTTCACAGTCCCATGGCATTTCCAATACTTCTCCAGAACACTTTTTGACAAAGTTTTACCACATTTTTCTGCACAATCGAATTCACACCAGTCCTCTGCAGTGCCCCTGTCGTCATTTTAATCAAATGTCATCCCCACGTTCAATTCCCTTACATTTTTAGGCCCACTTTCCATTGCTTTCCGAGACTTCACTGAATGACTATTGCTGTTTGTCGAAATCTCGATAGGGCTACTGAGGAACAATAAACCAAGATATCGTTGTTGCTGCAGTTCAGACATTGCCAATGCCAAGAACCACATTGATGCAGGAAGATGAGTTAAGCCATAGATAACGGCCAGTGAGGGAGCGAAGGACGAAGGGATGCTCGCCTAGGTTAATCCTCAGGCTACGATAAAAAGGGTAGCCTTAGGGTGCCAGGTGGCTGGACTATATCGGACCTCCGGTTCATTCTGACTTTGATGGTCTTACCTCTCGCTTTCCTTTCTTTGAATTATCATTGGGGGAGAGTCTGGTTTAACCCCTTGGATCATCCTTGTAATCACCAAAGCTGATTTAGCCTAACGCTATGGGAAATATTGAGAAATTTCATTTGTTAACAAAAATGGAAGTTACTGCCTCGCAGAAGAAGGTATTTGCGGCGAATAACTTCTATTATACAGGCACACACCTTCTGCGATATGTCATCAGTAGCATTTATCTCTGTATGGTGAAGACCTATTCAACTAAGTTTCAGTCCAGTTTGATTTTACTTGCAGTAATTTAACTGTAATCTCGTTTCTACGGCTCCTTACACCTGTGTGAGGCTTGGCTACTGTTATATCTCTGGTCCACTGCCTTAGTGCCGGAAAAAGACTCATCAACAAGATACACAAGCGAGTGAAACTGGTACAAGGGAACTGGCGCTACTTGAATTTCATTTCTCATCGATCCAAGCTGTTGCCGAATTGATTGATTGATTGACTTGCCTGGATGCTTGCCGGCTTCCCTATAGAGATTTTGATGACGTTTTAGTGTCTCAGTAGGTCTCGGGCATTCTGTAGTTACCTCGAGGAGCCCTGAGTAGAGTGTACTATCTAGAGAACAATGTGGTGTTCACTTTGCTCAGCTTGTTGACACTTTTGAGCAGACGACTTGGTGGCATTTTCTTATCTGAGAACATAATGCAGAATCTTCTATTTACCATGGATGGCTTGAGAGTTCCTAAGAGTAAGCTGGGAACCCCTAACAGGAATGTCGATATAGAGAGGGAACATTTCCAACATCAACATAGACAGCTTTGTGGAACAGCAACATTTCGAACATTCCCATTGCCCGCAGTACTTGCTACATAAGTAACAAACAAACGAACGCAAAAATCAATACTGGGAATTCAAATTCCGAATAAAAGGCACACAGCCCTCCATGACCTGTCGTCTTCCTCTGTAGCTACTCAAGTTTATAAATGAGACGATATGTTGTATTTTTCCATCACGGTCTTCGGAGGTGTCTTCTAAAAAACGAGAGAACCAGAAACTGTCTTTAATGAACCAGCTAATCCGAAACAGCTACGGAGTTAGGCTTTGAGTTCATCACATAAATAGTAATGATTTATACCTTAACCATATTCAAGTTTCGGCGTTGAACCTTCTTTATTGCATCTGAAAACCCCCAGTTGAGCGGCGCACCAAATCAATCAGCATTCCCAAACTGAGTGAGACGATAAAGTTTTTGGTTGTATGAGCCCGGGATAGTTCACCGCTCGAGGTACAAAAATACTGACAGAAATTTCTATGGCTTAAACTCACCTCTGGCTTTTCGATTACTTCTCTCCGCACTTGGAGCAACGGGCTGCACCTCAGCCCTCATGCCTTATTCGAGTCATACGGTATCTATGGAGATAAAAGAGTACCCTAGCTGAACCATTTATATATATATATATATATATA